ATGTCTAATCTTCTGTGTTTTAAAATGTATTTTTTGATTCTAGAATTTCCTTTTTGTTCTTTTTTGGTTTCCCATTCTCTACCAAAATTCTGTAGACATGTACAGGTTCCTACATGCGTTTCTTAATGTTACCCTTGCTCTATTGTGGTGGTCTCTGTCTATTCCTTGCCAAGACTGGGTTATTACTCTGGCTTTCTACAGAGTCTTAAGATGACATGGTGAGTTGCTCTTTGATCTTCTTTCTCAAAATTATGTTATTAATAGTTATTTTATGCCTTTATTTTTCCCTATAGACTTCAGAAACTTTTGGGTTCTGTGTTATTTTGTTACTACCATAACAAGGTGCCACAGATGGGGTGGCTTAAACAACAGAAATCTGTTTTCTCACAGTTTGGCAGAAATGCTTTCTCTTGCAGCCTCTCTTCTTGGCTTGTAGACACTGTATTCTCCCTATGCCTTCCCAGGGCGGTCCCTCAGTGGGTGTCTGGGTCCTAAGCTCCTCTTGTTAAGGACATCAGGCTTGCCCCGGCTAACTTAACCTTAGTCACCTCTGTAAGGTCCTACTTCCAAATGCACCCACCCCCAAAGGTACTGGGGCTTAAGACTTCAATGCATGAATATGAGGGAGACACAGTTCTGCTCATAACAGTCTTTTAAAAATTATGCCAAGGTTTTTATTGTAATTTCATTAAATTTATGAATCAATTTGTAGGAAACTGTCACCTTCACAATATCCTGGTCCTCCTCCATTTATGCAGATTTTCTTTTATATTCTTTAATAATTTTTTTATGTTCTCCATAGAGGTCTTCTACATTGTGGGCTGTGGTAAACAGCTTTTTCTTTTTTTTTTTTTTTCTTTTTTTGGACAGGGAATCTCACTCTGTTGCCCAGGCTGGAGTGCAGTGGCGCAATCTCAGCTCACTGCAACCTCCACCTCCTGTGCTCAAGTGATTCTTGTGCCTCAGCCTCCCGTATAGCTGGGACTATAGGCACACGCCACCACGACTGTCTAATTTTTGTATTTTTAGTAGCGACAGGGTTTCACCGTGTTGACTAGTCCACCTCGGCCTCCCAAAGTGCTAGGATTACAGGTGTGAGCCACCATGCCCAGCTATAAATGGCTTTTTATTTTATATTTTCTAAAGCTATTTCTTGTTCTGGTAGAGAAATTCTACAATCTTTTAAGTCTAAAGTACACATCTGGCTGCCAGTCCAGGGAGTAACTGCTTAATACAGGGACAAGAGGGAGGGCACCCAGCAGTGCAGAGCACAGAGCAGCCCCATGTGCCAGGGATGACAGGCCTTCCCGCCCCCCCGACCTGACCCAATATCCTGGGGTCTTCTGATGGCAGGAGCCACCCTCGGCACCAAGTCCCCAAGTCCAGGCAGGAAAATGGGGAAAAGGACAGGAGCACACAGGTTCTGCACGCACCTCCCCGCCCCCAGCTTAGCAGGGACAGAGGCTCTCCCAGGAACCCCCGGCACCCTGGCACCCTCGGCTGCAGGTTTCAACAGCTACGCCTATGCCTTGGCCTCTGCTGGCTGCAGAAACAGGGTCAGGGCTGCCGCTGCAGGAGCCACTGCACCTTCAATGTCTGTGTTCTCACTGGCAGTTCTGCCATTGCTGTGTTAAATAGAAGTGGTAAAAGTAGGCACTTTTCTTGGTTCATATTTTTAAACACACATTTAAAAGCTCTCCACTACCTATGTCTTCTGAGATTAGCCTTTGTCAAGGAAAAAACTACTTCTGTGACCAATTTTCTCGACGTGTTTCACCACAAAAGAAGGCTGACTGAAATCAAAGGCCTTGTCTTCCTCGGTGGAAACCGTATTTTTTGCCTTTGGTTCACCAATGGGTAAAGCACATTGACATAAAACCACCCCGAGCCTGACTTGATCATGGTGATTTGCTTTCTGATGTGCCGCTGAATTCATTTTGCTACGACTTTATTTAAAACTATCATGTCTCTATTCAAACATAAAACAGCCTAAATGTTTCCCTCGTGCTTCTCTTATGCTCCCTAGAAACATCCTGCGCATGTTAAGATAGGAGGCAGGCCGGGCACGGTGGCTCCCTTGGGAAGCCGAGGTCAGGAGTTCGAGACCAGCCTGACCAACATGGTGAAACCCCGTCTCTACTAAAAATACAAAGAATTAGCTGGGCACGGTGGTGCGTGCCTGTAATCCCAGCTACTCGGGAGGCTGAGGCAGGAGAATTGCCTGAACCCAGGAGGCGGAGGTTGCGGTGAGCCGAGATCGCGTCATTGCACTCCAGGCTGGGTAAGAAGAGTGAAACTCTGTCTCAAAAAAAAAATTTTTTTTAATTAAAACAAAAAAAAAGACAGGAGGCCTCCAGAATCATGCAATCAGCCAGAGCCCCACCTCCCCCTTCCTCCTCCTGTTCTGTGGTCTCAGAACAGCTGTCAGATGTTAGAGCCCAAAATGCATCCCCCGGGTGTATCCGCTTCTTTCATATTTGCTGTCTTGTTGCCAGAAAGATTTCCTGACATGTACAATTCTATCCTTCTGTTTTTCTTTTTTGCAACAATTTTTTAATTTCAAAATTGCCTTTTTTGTCTTTCCATCTTCATGATTTCCTGTTCTTATTATATAAATGTATCGACCCAGTCTGAGTCTATGGACTCAGTATTTTTTAAGTTTTCCTCCGATTCATTCACTTATCTTGATCCATTTATTTTGTTTCTTTGCCTGCTCTTTCTTTTACTTGATGCAGCTCTCCTTGAATGTATGATAAATTTTCATCCTTTAAAATGAAGCCACTGGGGGTGCTGCTTGGGAGCGCTCTGTATTTGGGCCCTAGGACTAGGAGGTAGGGAACCAGCCACGGGCTGGGGGCTGTTAACCGCAGGTGACAGAAAGACTCGTGCTTCCATGAAAGGAGGCGTTTCACCCCAGAAGCTCGGCTCTGGCACGCTGGATCCAGATCCCCAGCGTCACCAGGACCTCTTCTCCCACTGGGTCCTGTCCCTTCTGGCTGCTCCCATCTCAGATTCCCTGTGAGGCTGCACACTTGGCCTCACACTGCAGAGTCTAGGGGTGAGGGGCCCCTCCCAGCCGCTGGGCTGGCAGTCCTGGGCCTGTGCTGGGAGGGATGGAGGGATGGAGCTGCACAGCCATCTTGAGCTGAAAATCCCCTCCTAGGCAGGGGAGGGAACGGCCACAGACACTCCCCACGAGCCAAAACTAAGGGAGGTCTGAGCGCTGTCCACTGCCAGCTCCAGCACCAGGGGTTGCACAGAACCCCCTTGACTCCTTGGGGTAAGCAGCTCACTGCTGGCTGTTCTGTGTGTGAACAGGGAGGGGGCTCGACCAGTGTGTGCACACCTATGAGGACCCCTGCTTCCACCTCCACGCGCCATTGCCGCGGCCCCTCCCCTCCAAGCTCCTTCTGACTGATGGGCAGCACCTAGGGCCCTTCCGGCTCGCCTTGTCAATTTACTTTCTGAGGTTTTCATCAGGTCTTGGAGGGACGCTGGGTGGACCTGCTCGGGCGGCGCCTCCGGCCAGAACCCATCAATCACTTTCAAATACACCTTCTTTCCAGCCCTTCTTGCCGAAGGCTCTAAAAACACTGTGGGCGCCCCCACACCGACAGCAGAGGCCGCTGCCCCCAGAGCCAGGCTCGGAGCTGGCCTCGCGCCGTCGCTTAGTGCTGGGAAGACCCCGAGGGCATCGGAAGCCACGGGAGCCACAAGGGTCGACCCCATCCGCACTAAAACAAGGCGGGAAGTTGAGGAGGTCCTCGCGCGACCCCACAGCTTTCAGCCAGTGGAGAAGCGGCGCAGGCCTGGGGAGGGGCCGCAGGGTGGGCTCCGGCCGCGTGGGGCCGGCGCTGGCGCCCTCTCCTCTCGGGACCTCAGGCCTCATCCCAGGGCACTGGGGCGCACAGGTGGATGGGTCCAGGTGGGAGGGGGGAAGCGGGGAGGCTGGAGCGGGGCCGGGGGCGGAGGACAGCCGGGACGGGGCGAGGGGCCTTGCGAGGTGGGAGACAGAGGTGGCCGGTGACGGAGGATGGGAGGCGGCGAGGAGGGGGCCAGGATGGAGCCTGCCTTCTCCCCTCCCACCAGCCTCCGCGACTGCCCGCCCCAATCCCAGGGCGGAGGCCTCGCGCAAAACCCAGGCGCCGCGGCTCCGCGCTCCGGCTGAGGGTCTGCGCCACCGCCTGCTCCCTCCCGCTCGGCCGCGGCCCCTGGGGCGGATACTCCGGTGTGAGGTTCCGACAGAGGCCTGTGGCGGGTAAGGCCGGGAGGCCGCGGCGGGTGCGGGGCGGGTGCAGGTGCGGATGCAAGGCCGGGAGCGCCGGGCGGGGCCAGGAGGGATCCAGCGGTCGCCCGAATCGCTGCGCCCGGAGGCGGCCCGGAGACTCGACCCAGGCCTGTCCCCCGCCAGCTGCTGAACCGGGCGGCCGGGGAAGGCGCCGAGCACGGGGCGCGCGCCGGGGTACCGGCTTGCGGGGGCAGGGTCCGCACGGGGTCAGCAGCCGCGCGTCCTCCACAGCCCCAGCAAGGTCCGCACCAGGCTCTGGACCCTAAGGTGCGCGCCGGGCCCAGGCACGGCCCGTCCCTGCCCCAGACCTGATCTGAGGCAGCCCCTGGTCTCCGCAACCGCGTCCTCCAAACACATCACCCCTCCCCCCGTGCTACCCCGCACCCCAGCACCGCGCGCAGAACCCAGGAGCATGGCGCCACCCTCCCCAGGTATTTCCCCCCCGCGCCAGGGCCTGGACGCTCCCACCCAGGTGCACAACCTTCAGGCGCAAAACCCTCCCGCCCCACCCGCCACTTCCCAGCGCCTCCACGGAGGCCTCAGTCCCTGACGCTAAAGGTTCAACTGCGCCCCCAGCCCCACCCCAGGCCTGAGCAGTCCTCCAAGATGCTGGGGGTTCCCTGACCCCACAAAAGCCGAAGGTCCCTCCGCCCCAGGCCCCGGGCACCCGATCTTCATGGACGCTGAGGGCCCTTTCCCTGTCTTCTCGCAGGTTTTGCCCCACGAAGATGAACTGGGCACCCGCGACGTGCTGGGCTCTGCTGCTGGCAGCCGCCTTCCTCTGCGACAGCGGCGCGGCCAAGGGCGGCCGCGGAGGGGCGCGAGGCAGCGCCCGGGGAGGACTCCGCGGGGGGGCGCGTGGGGCCTCGAGGGTGCGCGTGAGGCCAGCACCACGCTACGGTGCTCCGGGCTCCTCCCTGCGCGTGGCTACAGCAGGGGCGGCGGCGGGGGCGGCGGCGGGGGCGGCGGCGGGAGCTGCCGCGGGCCTGGCGACGGGCTCGGGCTGGAGAAGGGCCGCAGGGCCCGGGGAGCGCGGCCTGGAGGACGACGAGGACGGGGTTCCCGGAAGCAACGGGACCGGCATCTACAGCTACCGGGCGTGGACTTCGGGCGCTGGGCCCACGTGCCACCCGCGCCTCTGCCTCGTGCTGGGCGGCACCCTCCTGGGGCTGCTGCGGCCCTAAGCCAGGCTGGGCACGGGGATCACATCTGGTTCCCGGCCCATGCCGTTCCCCAAGTTCTCAGGCCGGGACTCCACTCCCTCCCTTGCCCACAGCCTTGAGCCCCAGTGGGGACAGGAGCTGCAGGCTGTCCCTGTGGACCCGCCATCCACCGTCCTGCCTACGCCGCCCCCATCTCCCACCTCCAGGGGACCATGCGTCCTGCCCCACCAGCTCCAGGATATTAGGGTCCCCCCCGGCCAGAAAGGCAGCTGCCGGTGGCTCCTGTATCATCGGCCCAGCCATGCTCCAGAGCCACCCAAAAGGAGGTGCCAGACCAGGCATCCAAGCCACCCCTGCTCCCCTCCCCTGCCCAGGGGCCCTGGTGACCCATGGCAGGGAGGCGACCTCAGGCTGGTTTTGCCACTGAGGCCCTGAGGACCATGGCCCTCCCCAAAAGCAGCAATGAAATGGACCAAAGGACTTAGGGATTTGGGGGGGGAAGTTAGGGGAACACGCTAGGTGCTAACCACCTGCCCACAAGACAAGACCCTGAGGCTCTCACAACCCAGGAACATTCCCAAGCAGGAAACGGGTCCATCCCAGGAACGTCCATCCTGGCTCTCTCCCTCGTGGGAGGACATACCTTGCCCCAGAGGGGCTGCCCAGGCCTTGTCCCCCACACCTCAGGCAGAGATCCCTGAGACCCATTTTGCTCCAGCAACTTGAAACCAGTCATTTACTCTCATTTTGGGGGAAAAAATCCCGACACATTCCAGAGTTTTCCAATTCCTTTGAACTTTAGGTTCACCTTCAGGGATCACACATTCTGCCTGTACTCAGGGCACGGCAACTGCCCTGAATGATGACTGGCACAGATGAGTGGCACTCATCCATGCCGCTGAAGAGCCCTCCCTGGGCACAGCTCAGGCTGCACCATTCCGGATTTCCCTGCAGGCAGCCCCTTCCTCGGAAGCAGCTGCTTTAGGCCTCGGGACAGGGGCCTGGGTGTCAGCGTGGGAGGACAGCAGCTGACGGTCTGCTCAGTGGAGCCAGGAGCCAACTACCACAGAGCGAGCAGGAGGCCAGCAGCGAGGCCCAGCGCCCCACAGGACACCCATGCAAGAGGCTGAGCCCCCCAACATCTCCAAGGTCTCTGGCCATCCAAGGACACAAGGGACACAGAGTGGCCTCCAGGAGGCACTGGGCATCCTGACAAAGACTTGCCTCTGGCACTGGACACTTATGTGTAAGACCGACCCCCTGCTTCCCAGTCCTGCCAGCCTGGAGCATCCTCCATGGGCTCAGCACTGAGGGGTCTCAGGTCTGCCACATTATCTAGCTCTCCAGCCGCCCGACTCATCCAAGGTAGCATGGGTTCCCCCTGGCCCCCCGTGGCCTTGGGATCTCACCCTCACCATACCCTGGTGAGAGCCTCACCACAGCAGGCTGCAGCCTCCTGACCTGAGCCCCTGGCCTCAGTAGACATGAAAGTCGAGACCAGCACCTGCCACAGGCCCTACTGGCCTCTGCCTTCCCCAGCTGGCCTGGGTTCCAGCCAAGGTGAGGATCTGGAAGCTGCTGGCAGGACTCTGGACCAAGCACTGCTCTCTAGCACAGGGGCACTAAGCCACAGGAGGCAGCACCCTGCAGCCTCCCATCCACACTGCCAGCAATGCCCCTGGCCCGATGCGCCTCCACCCTTTCAGATCCAGCTCAATGCACCAAGGCCAGCAGAGCCTCACAGGCAGGAGCCCTTCTGCCATCTCCCCCAGGAGGCAGGGAGTGGTCTGAGTCTTCTGAAGGAAGGGAAAGCCACCAGAGCCCCCCCTTGACTTTGCAGACACCCACTTGGAAAATGAGCTGTGCTGCACCAGATCCTCACACACCACAGCGCCGCAAGCTGATGGAACGTTCCAGATGTGGACACACCATGCTCATTATTCAGCACATGAGCATCTGACACATCCACTCTCCTCAATACTTCCTGTCAGGGGTGGTCAGGGTAACAGCAGGATGCAGGTGGAACTCAGGGGCTAACTTCAGGCTGCCGAGTGTATGGGATTGGGGCAGCAGAGGCGGCCAGCCAGCAAGGAGGGGCCACTGAGCACCAGGGCCATGGTGGAGGCTGCTGTGGGAAGGTTAGGCCACCACTGGAAAGAGGCGGCCAGAGCTTCTGCACAGGATGTCCCTGGCCCCAGGCCCCGCAGCACCAGCCCCACCAGCCTTCCTTCCTCTTCCCCACCCCCCTCAGCCCCACTACTGCAGAATCCCACTACCCCATGGGCTAGAAGGTGCTCAGAGGCCAGGGGTCTCTGCTGCCCACGCCGGGCACCTTCCAGTCTGGGCACAGCAAAGCCATGTACAGAGCGTCCCCCTCAGCCCTGCCCTGGAATAAGACCCAGGGCACCGAGGGGCAAAGCCAGCGCTCAGGCTCTGCTGCTGGGAGTCTCTTGTCCTTGTCTGTGTGCGCCTTTAAGTGTGAAATAAACCCCTCTGCTGGCAGTGAGCCTCTTCCTTATTGCAGGACTGCAGGAAACCGGACTGAAAGCCTCCAACACAAGCCCCAGTTGCCAACCTGCTCATTTCTTAGGTTCCACTGGTGAGACCAACTTCCACACACAGGCCCAAAGGACTATGGTGCACCTCCCTGGCCAATAGCAAACAGGCCCTTTAATTGGAGATTTTAAAGGTTACAGGTCATAGCTTGAACTCCTGAGACGGAGGCACTGGGCAAGAAGCTCCGGGAGAACCAAGCATGTGGGGCTGCTCGGGAGCCGACTGGGAAGCCTGGTGTCCACTCCCACCCGCTACGCCCCTGGAACCAAGGCCCCTAGAGCTGACCAGGCCATGGGGGCGCCAGAGAGCACAGCACCCGAGTGGCCAGCGTGGAGCTTCTGGACCAGGTGAGCTGTCTTGAGACTCAACCACCCCGGTCAGGAGGTCTGGGAGGCCACAGGCCTCAGGTGCCCTCCCCACACAACAGGTTCAGGGTACAGTCTCAGCCGGGGGGTGGCCCCACAGGACGTCGAGGTCCAGCATCACGGGGCCCAGCAGCCCACGGCGGAAAGTGTGGAGGAAGTCACGGGCTGCCGCAGCATAGTCAGGCTGAATAACGTTCACGTCACCTAGGGGATGGGAGGGTTCAGTGAGGAAGGAGCCTTCACAGCAGGATGGGCCCAGCCCCCACCCACCCAAGGGACCAGCCCTAAGAGACCCTAGGGTAGCATCAGGGAAGCCTGGGAAACGGGATCACACTCAGAAACAAAACAGCTTGAGCTGCACTGCCTGGAGCCTCCAAGGCCAGGCATGCGGGGCCTGCAGGTGTCCACCTAGCACTGCCCAGCACGGGGCAGGGCCGGTCCCGCCCTTGGAAGCCTGGACTACGAGCCCTTCCTCTCCACAATTTTCTGTAGCTCCCCTGCCCTGAAACGCATTCCCAGAAGAGCCACCCGCATACTCCTCGACATGTTCTCCTCTCCTCCCTGTCTCCTCCGGGACAGTCGGGTCCCCCTGGGGAAAGTGGTGAGGCTCCAGTGCCTGCATCAGCAGCCTCACTCACCGGTGCCTGTGAGTATCTTCACCTTCTGCGTCTTCCCCAGCTTCACAGCCACACTCTTCAGCACGCGCTCTATGTTGTCACAGGCACTGCCCAGGCTGTAGTGCTGCACGTACCTGCACACAAGCTGCAGGTCAGTGCCAAGGGGCCCAGCACCAACACTGCGCAGACAGCCAGGCCAGAGCCTCCCTCCCTCCTGAATGCCACCAAGGCCATGGCCAGGCACTTCCTGTGGATAACAGTGACTATGGCACTGTGGATGACCGAGATGAAACCAGGGGTGATAGATTGGGCACCAGGGGAGAGCCACTGTCTAAGAATCCCTGAGCTGTGTCCTGTGTGGCCATGACCAGCAGCACAGAGGGCAGCTCCCACCACTAGAGCCCTTGCTGCAACGGAAAGAGTAACAGCTGTTCACATGCAGGCTTCAGCCTCCCTATCCAGAAGCGGGGACAGGCAGGTCTCTGTGCAGGCCCAGCTCCTGGAAACCAAAAGGGCAGCACAGAACACCTGCCAACCCACCCCGTTTGCCGCTAAGGATGGCACTCGGTGACTCCAGGCAGCCAGTCCACCTGCATCCTTCCCACCCGGCCAGATGTCTGAATGGTGTTTTCATAGCACACAGACCAGCATGGGCTGACTAGCCACCCACCACTGCTGAGCACCACCCGGTGATTCTCATGGGCGCCCTGACTCCTCTCAGTGCAGGCTCTGGGCAGACAGGCCTGGAGGGAAAAGCCAACACAAAGCAGCAACTCACAGAGACAAACACCGCCCTGAGCCTTAGGAGCCTGACTAACCTAGACCCAACACCCTCCCAACCTTCCTGACTGGCAGGGGTGAGGGGAACCTGTCTCGCGGCTCCCACGAGGACAGGCTCAGCCTTAAGGAGGCTGTTGCCCTCGGACCTGGTCACAGCATGATCCAGCAACACAGGACTCACACCAAAGCCCAGCAAAACAAGACATGAGCTCAGAGCCCATGGGAGCATGAGAACCCTGAGGGACGCAGGTGGGAGCCACCAAGTGTGAGCTCTGAATCAGCAGCTTCAAGGGCGCTGGTGCTCCAGAAAAGCTGTCCCAGGAAAGAGGAGCAATCCTGGAGAAGATGCCCCTGACCACACCCCAGACCTCCAATGGTAAGAACTCCCCAAAGGACAAGACTGTTTCCAAATAACCTAACTGCTCAGAGCAAAGCTCAAAAATTTGACAGGAATGTAGCTGTCCACCACCTAACAAGATGAAACTCAAAATATACTGCATCCAGCCAGCCACAGTGGCTCACACCTGTAATCTCAGCAGTTTGGGAGGCCCAAGGTGGGTGGATCACTTAAGGTCAGGAGTTCAAGACCAGCCTGTTCACCAACATGGAGAAACCTCATCTCTACTAAAAATACAAAAATTAGTTGGGTGTGGGCCAGGGGTGGTTCACACCCATAATTCCAGCACTTTGGGAAGCCAAGATGGGCAGATCACCTGAGGTCAGGAGTTTGAGACCAGCCTGACCAACATGGAGAAACCCTGTCTCTACTAACAATACAAAATTAGCCGAACGTGGTAGCACATGCCTGTAATCCCAGCTACTCAGGAGGCTGAAGCAGAAGAATCAC